TTCGTTGTCTGCCTGTTTAATTTGATTTTTAAAAATTGAATAACAAAAGAAGAGCATGATTTTTTTGCTGTATCGCTTTAAAATTATAATAATAATTCCGACTAGGGTTTGAAATATTTCACACACTGAACAAATAAATTATTATTTGAAAGTAAATTATAGTAAAAATGTCAGCAACAAAAGGGATGAAATGATTTAGATTCGGTATAATATAACAAATAAAACATGGCCTTTCGGGCAAAATGCAAGTTTACGGACTGGTTGGTCAGACCTCGGAAGGTATATGTCCCTCAGCTGCGCTTCGGGCCATATACCTTCCTCAGTCTGACCAACCAGTCCGTAAACTTGCATATTGCCCTCAAGGCCATGTTTTATTTGTTAAATATTGGCATTACCTGCCATCATACATCAAAGAAAAATGTAACTTCAAAATTACTGATTGGCTAAGAATGGTTTCCTATTCTTCACATAGTTAAGAATAAGACTTAACAAAATGTTTATATACTTTGTTTCTGTTTTATTAAATAAAGATTTAAGAATAAAATACAGAGCATGGTAAAAATTAAGACTTTGTAGCTACTTTAAAATATTGGCATTACCTGCCATCACTCCTCAAAGAAAATAGTAATTTCAAAAATAATGATCGGATTTCACTGATTTTCTATTCATCACCTACTTAAGACTATGTCTCAACAAAATGTTTATATACTTTGTTTCTGTTTTATTACAATAAGATGCTAAAAATTAAGACTTTGTAGCTACTTAAAAAATTTGGCATTGCCTGCCATCATACATCAAAGAAAATTACTACATGTAATTGGATAAGACTGGTTTTCTTTTCTTCACCTAGTTAAGACTAAGACTTAACAAAATGTATATATACTTTGTTTCTGTTTTATAACAATAAAGATATAAGAATAAAATACAGAGGATGCTAAAATAAGACTGTAGCTACTTTAAATTATTGGCATTACTTGCCATCATACATCAAAGAAAAATGTAACTTCAAAATACTGATTGGAAATTTTTATATTTGAATTGATGTTTGAATTTAAGAACTTGTAAATGTTAGATACTAACTTTACTTTCAGAATTTAAACACATGGCGGCTGTTATATTAAAATTTAAATCAGTTCCGAACAAGATTGCATTTGTGAAAAATGCTATGCCACCGCATTAATACATGTACAACATTAAATAGTAATGTAGGAACAGAATTTTTTTGCGTCTATACAATTGAAGATTGCCATAATGCATAGATCACTGACCTTTCTAATTTTTATTATCAGATTAGTGGTTAAGTCGTTATTCAAATGAAAGATCAGAGTAGGAATCTATCAATGCAGTTGAGTCTAGTGAGTTTGGTGGTGAAGGTCATATTTCACATGGCCAAAATTCCATGACTTTACATCAAAGGCCAGCACAGTAAGATACTTTGTCAAAATCTACGCCAGCTGAAAACACGGTCACTTTACATCTTAATCTGTGCACATGGTTCAAATTTCATAACTGCACATCAAAGGACAAGAAAGTACATGTAGGTCACATCATCAAAATCTAGTTCACTTGATATCACACTTTAATTTTACAAATAAAACTGTGCACATAGTCCAAATTTCATGGCTGTACATCAAAGGACAAGAAAATAGGTCACTGTCCCCTTAGTCAAGGCAAAATTTTGACCCCAGGGTTTAATTCAAACAATCTTGATACAGGTCCACCAAACAACATTTTTTCATGTCAAATATCTAAGCTGTAGCTTTCTCCAATTCAGAAAACATTTGTTTTAGTTTCTGTTTTAACTATGTGTACATAATGAAAATCAATTCCCCCGGGCAGGGCCAATTTTGAAACTAGGGGCAATTTGATCAACTTTGGTAGAGGAGCTAATGGCTGATATTATAAAGCAAACATCAAAGCTCTAAGCCTTTTACCTTCAGAAAATAAGATTTATAATTTTTTACTATATAGTACATAGTGACTGAAAATCAATGACCCCCTGGGTGGGGCCAATTTTGACCCCAGGGCTAAAATTTGAACAATCTGGCTAAAGGTTCACTACACAATGTTTCATGCAATATATCTAACCTCTAGCATTTGTCAATTTCAAGAAGATGAATTTTTTAAGTTTTTACTATTTACATAAATGGAAAACCCATGGCCCCCGGGCGGGACTAACTTTGACACCAGAGGCAAAATTTGAACAACTTTGGTAGATTACCTATAGATGATATCATATACCAAATATCAAAGCTCGAAGCCCTTGTACCTTCAGACAATAAGATTTTTTATTTTTTTACTATATGTACATCGTGAAAATCAATGACCCCCAGGGTGGGGCCAATTTTGACCCAAGGGCTATAACTTGAACAATTTTGGTAGAGGTCTACCAGACAATGTCTTATGGAAAATATCTCTAGGCCTTGTGGGTCTTTACAAGAACATTTTTTAAATTTATTCTTATCATTCTTTTTTGTTGCCATGACAACCAGATTTATACATGGAATGAAATTCTTTGACCAACTTTAGAAGCCCTTCATCCAAGGATCAATCCTGCCAAGTTTAGTTGAAATTGGATCAGCGGTTTTTCACAAGAGGATTTTTTAAATTCACAATATAATCTATAGAACACACACACAGGTGAATTGCTATATGCCACCGCATCACAGATGCTGCGGTGGCATAATAAAGAAGTAGCACCTAGTGGCACGTTAAGACTTTAACAAGAACGTGTTTATTAAACACAAATTCCCCCGGCTTAAATTATTGTCTGAGTAACAATATTTCAAAAAAATGTTCATTCAGTTATGGACAAAAAATTGTCAAAAAAATTGTAAATATAGTTATATAATTATTGTAAATGTACAAAAGTGTTGTCAAGTCATTGCAATGACTTGTGATGTAGTTTAAAAATATTTAACTTTATTAAGATTTTATATAAATACAAGACTTTACAATGAACCCAGAGACAACAAACTTAAAGACTCACCTATGGTATGTTCCTTGTGAATATGAGACATTGCTAAAACAAGAGCCGGTTGAACCGGGTAATGCTCCCCGAGCAGGTTTTGGACACAGGAAGGTATACCTCTTGTAGTGTCAGAGTTATGTCACAGACAAAGATACAAGTGTGAAAACAACCCAAATGTTGCGCACCACACATTGTCTCAATATGGTGATCATTTCTGTGAAATAGTTATAAAATCCTACTTCAAATAACGAAGTTATGGGCTGGATACGATTTTGCTGCAAGGTCATGCTGTGACCTTGACCTTCAAGATAGCAACCTAAATGTTGCACGTAACATGTCGTCTCAATATGGTGATCACTCCTATGAAAAAGTTTTAAAATCCAACTTCAAATAATGAAGTTATGGACCGGACTCAGTTTTGCTGCAAGGTAGCAACACAAATGTTGTGCGTGACATGTCGTCTCAATATGGTGATCATTTCTGTAACATAGTTTTAAAATCCGACTTCAAATAACAAAGTTATGGGCCGGACACGAATTTGGGACGTACATACGGACGGACGGACAATGCGACGAAATTTTTCGAGGAGCATAAATATACAAAGACTAAATAAAAAAGTGTAAAAAAATGTTTTGTAATTAGAGGTTATTGTATTTTAGGCAATAATCCCAAGTAGGCAGACCATGTAAGTTATCATCCTCCAAAATGTAAAAAAAAAAGAAAAAAAAACATCATTAAAAAAATAAAGGCTGTACAAGCAAAGTTGTAGAAATCTGTATCGGCAAACGAGTTAAAATCTTTTTTAGTACTGGTGACATTGACCTACTGACCACTACCTCAATCAGAAGGAAGAATATCATGCAAGTTATTTTCCTTACAAATATGAAAGTCATCTTGTCAATAAATGCAGGCAGTATGAGAAAAAGTGTAAAAATCTACTTTTAACACCGTTGACCTTGACCTAACTGCCCCTTACTCCATTGAAAGGAAAAGGACTCAAATTTTATGTTCCTACAAATATAAATGACATCTGTCACTAAAATAAGGTTAATACTTTTGTAAAAGTCTAAAATAGATTTTTGACATTGGTGACTTTGAACTTGACCCAAAATGACCCCTGACTAAACACCAAGGAAGAGGACCTCCATTGGCAGTTTGTATTACACATGAAAGACATCAACATAAAAATAAAGGCTGTATGAGCAAAAATGTTTAAATTTGATAATTACATCAGTGACCTTTAACTTAAGCCTAGAGATCCCTAACTCCACAAAAAATTAGAGGACCATTAAAGGTATCAACTTACCAAATTTGAAAGATATCATTACATAAATGAAGTAATTAGGAGAAATTTAAGATGAATCCAACTTGCTGTAATAGGTTGCTGTAATACAACCATAATTATTTTCAAAGTGATAAAAAGGGAAATAACTGGGAAAATGAATGGCATAGTTATATAACTGGTAACATCCTGTAATAATGAAGCTATTAGTATAGATAAAACTTAGATATATCTAACTTGCTGGTTAAATAACCAATAATTAATTTTCTTAGTGCTGTAAAGGGCAATATAACTTGGTAGAAATGGAAGCCATGTAAGTTGCCTAGGTCATGTACTTTTTTTTTATTAGTAAGTGTGTAAATTATGAAGCCATTGGAAAAGGTAAAAAAAACCAACTTGCCGTTCTAGGTTAACCCTGTACAGACAGACAGACGGACCGTCCAATTACTATATACCCAGGGGCATAAAATGTTTGAAGATGCTTAATGATTTTTAGGCACACAAAACTTAGTAAGGAAATTAACAGTCCACAAAGCACATTTTCCCAATTTTTGTCCTGCAGATAGGACAAACACTGTTGTTCACTTCAAAATGCGTTGCACACACGCTACAAAATGGGTGGAAACAAGGCAACAAAATTGCATTTCTTTGACGGTCCATACATATTGTGCAAATGTCCGGCTGTATTGCCTCTAGGTCTGCCCGAAAAGAAATCTGTAGAATAAAACACTTTAACACCCTTATATAGAGGGGCATAAAATGTTTGAAGATGCTAAATGATTTTAAGCCACACAAAACTTAGTAAGGAAATTAACAGTCCACAAAGCACATTTTCCCAATTTTTGTCCTGCAGATAGGACAAACACTGTTGTTCACTTCAAAATGCGTTGCACACACGCTACAAAATGGGTGGAAACAAGGCAACAAAATTGCATTTCTTTGACGGTCCATACATATTGTGCAAATGTCCGGCTGTATTGCCTCTAGGTCTGCCCGAAAAGAAATCTGGAGAATAAAACACTTTAATGAGACTATAGACAAATTATTCTGACTTTAAGTACATGTTAATTTTTGTTTACAAAGTTAAATGATGACATTGTGAAGATAAAATGCAAATACAAGAAGGTCATGATGCCCCTGAATCGCTCACCTGGCTACTTCAAGTCATTTAAGGGCCTATAAAAGATTTATTATATAAGATATAAGATAATTAAGATATTTTCATAAAATTTGACAGTGACGATGGAGATGACTTTAATTCCAAGGTATTCTCCATATGGTTTACTTTGAAGGTACCAAAAACACAGTAATTGTTGTTTAATAAAATACGTGTTCTTTGGTACACAATAAAATAAGTTTTCACATTAGCTAATTAAATGTTACTACTAGAAGATACTTGTGATGCTATAGTGCCAGTGACATTAGTTATCATTGGTTAAAAAGGAATGCTTTTACATACTGTTGGAGTGTCTGTTGGAACTTGTAAGATCTGAAGGGACTGGCCTGGTGTCTGTAATTAAAAGGCATATACATGTATATTAAAGACATGAGGTTTTAAAAAAAACCCATTATGCAGTAATTTGATTCTACAACACTCAACCCTAACATGAAACAAATTTCAGGACTGCAATACTGATGTTTATGGGAGAATGCAAATACAAAATATGCCAAAAATCCATATACTAGTAATCTCCTAATCTTTACAAAAATTAATCTGAATCTCAACTCTCATGAGTTTGTGGAAATGTGTAAAGTTTGGGTATGTACTTGAAATGTCTTCCTATTTATTACCTAATTTTGTGATAAAGTGATAAACAGACAACCAGAAATGAAAGGCATCAGGATGCGTTGATCAGTTTGAATGACTGTTTTTAACTATACTTACAGCTGACATGGTTACAGGCATTAAAGGTGTCTGTCTTGGTGGAGAAGGTGAACGAACAGGGGGTGGTGGTGTAGGTATGGGGGGTGGTGGCGACTGTACTCGAGACTGTAATTGGTATGGCATATCAAACGATAGATCATCCTGGCTACCACTAGCTCCCTGTAACTGAATTTTAAAAAAAAATTTAACATTAAAAGACCTACATTAATTTTGAATTGTTATTTATATTTTGGGATATTCAGCAAAGTAGAATTTCAAACAAGTTTTATCCAGTTAACTTACTTAAAGTCCAATATAAGTAATAGAAAGAGCACCAAAACATGAG